GGACCAACGGTTCTTGAATGGTTCCTTCACTCATTACTATTAGTAGCAAGAAGCTACTAGTAGCAAGGTGCCTTATTACTAGTCGCATCCTTGGGAGTCCATATCGCGTCCTTGTTCCTAGTAGCTTCTTGTTCCTAGTAGCGATGTCCGGAGCCCCTAGTCGCGTCCGATCGCTCCTGTCTGAGTGTCCAGCCCCGTAGGTGGGAAACTTCGGAAGGCCCAGGGCATCAACGGCATCGAAGAATCGTAACGCAAGCTCCTCACGAGGGGAGCGAGACAATAAGCTACTAGTAACAAGTGCATCGCTTCTAGGAACAAGTGCCTTACTAGTAGTAACAAGGACGCTAGTAATTCATGTTGAAATGACAGGAGCGTTCGTGCCAAAGTCGGGCTGTCACCGCCGAAAATCTTGAACCCAATTTTGTGAGGGCTGTGTCCAGTTACCAGCAGTGGCGAAGAACACGGCAGTGAGCCAGTGGCTTCTGCATCTGGAGATGCAACAGTGAGACCAATACTCTCTTTGCTCACCCTGGGTGGAGGCCATATCGCTACTAGGGTGAGTAGGAGAGATAGACATGATACCTTGTCGGGGCGGAACGCAACACTACCACCATGCTGTTGCTACTAGCGTGGCACTTGTTTCTAATAGCTTCTTGTTACTACTAGTAAGGCACTTGTTACTAGAAGCGATGCACTTGTTCCTAGTAGCTTCTTTGTTTCTACTAGTAAGGCACCTGTTGCTACTAGCGTGGCACTTGCACATGATGCACCCGTGTGGTTGGGGCGCATCAGGTGGGTGCATCGGGACAGCCGGAGAAGCTGACCGTATCAGAACCAGGCCAATGAGGCAGCTGAAAGAAACTTCACACGACCCGGCACGAGCAAATGGCATGAAGCAACGTTCGTAGTGTCCTTGTTCCGTTCGTAGCGATGCCAGGAGCCCCTAGTAGCGTCCTTGCTCCTAGTAGCGATGCCCTTGGCTCCTAGTAGTATGCAACTAGGTGCCTTTACAAGATCAAGTCCACGGTCGGGCGATTTCTGATTGAGTTTGAGGGAGCGTGTGCCAAAGGACACTGCAGATTTCACTTGCCACTTTCCAAATGTAGCGCGCCCCTGTTTTGCCTTTGGCTTCTCGTTCTTTAAGACTATTAGGAGCAGGTGCCACGCTAGTAGTAACAGGTGCCTTACTAGTAGTAACAAGAAGCTAGTAGTAACAAGTGCCACGCTAGTAGTAACAAGAAGCTACTAGGAGCAAAGGGCATCGCTACTAGGAACAAGAACGCTACTACAAACTCCTGGCCTTGCTGCTAGGAACAAGAAGCTGATAGTAACAAGGACGCTCTTAGGTTGGAGGCCATCGCTAGTAGGTTCCTTTTGTTATTAGGTGTTTCTTTGGTCAGGTGGGTTCCTTGCAGAACAAACTTACAAAAACAGCGATCGGTCTGCAACATCGTTGATATTCAAACTCCCTGTTCTCCTGCGGTGTTCGCAGGCCCACACCACTCACCAGCTGCCCCAGTTGCTTGACCGAGATCGAGTTGGCTTTTGCTACATCGCCCAATTCCTGACAAATTTGAAGCTCTGGATAGGAGTTTGTACCTACAAATCCTAGGTTGGAGGCCATTGCTATTAGGTTGGAGGCCATCGCTATTAAGGCTCTGTGCATTGGTTGATCAACAGCTGGCCCGGTCCTTTTGCATGAGCTGAAGCGCTTGATCTACCTTGTTGGATCTCAAGAGCTCGCAAATGGCCTCGATCTGTGCATCGGTCGCCTGGTTCTTCTGAAGCTCATTGTCCACCTTTTTATCTTCAATCGAATTCTTCCCATCCTTTCCGTCCTTCCCCTTCCCCTTCCCATCCTTTCCGTCCCCTTTTCTCCGCTTCGAAGGCGGTTCAGCCACAATGATCTTGTCTGCCGCACCGCCTTGGATCGCCCAAGAAGAAGCCTTCGGAGCGGCAAGACCTTTGGCATTCTTTCCTTTGGTCTTTCCTTTTCCAAACATGGCGCACAGCAACTTTGGCTGCGTTCCTGCGTTCCTCCCAGCAAAACATTACAATCCTTGCTTTTTTGTTATACACTTATTATAACTTATATACATAAAGTCAATGAATGACAGGTAGTTACATATCTGTTCTCACGTATGTTCACATGGTGTTTTGAATGCACTTCGTTCACTTAGGTGATCTTTCAAGTCACATGCACCACTACGTCAATGTATGTTTGAGAGCTTGCAGGGACACAAAAGTCACACTTGCGCCGGCAACCTCTCAACTTCCTGTCCGACATTCCTACCAAAAGACTGTCAATCAATGAAAACAACACACAAAACGCTGAACAGAACGAAAAAGACCGAAATGAAACGTACAAACTGTCCAGAAACACAAAAACACAAAATGTGTGCTGTCTTGGTGCAGAACTCACAGCAAGCATTCCACCCAAGAAGTCGGCCTCGCTCAGGAAACCATCCTGTAAAGCAAATCAAAAGGGAAAAAGAAGCTTTATTGTTACTAGTAGTAATGCACTTGTTACTAGTAGCGATGCACTAGTTGCGTCCTTGTTACTATAAAGACAACAAAATGTGTGTTCTGTTCTTGATTAAAAGAAAATGATGCAGAAGGCAGGATATAAAAGGACGACACATGGAAAGACTTCAAAAGTGACAACTTCCAATGCCAACACAAACATGGGGAGGGGCAGCATCTCCTCATTCCGGTCGAAAAGCTCGAAAAAGACTGAGGTGTGATGACTGGCTTTGCAGCAAGGATACCTGAAAACTGGCACTGCAATGGCCTCCAACCTAGTAGCGATGGCCTCCAACCTACCAGCAAACCGACCAAGTCTCTGGCTTTTGAAGAATGGTAACAAACTCTTCTTTGCCTGCCATGGCGCGAACAACTGGCAAGCACAGTGAGCATTGCGAAACACCCACAACAGGGCCGCTACGGGAGGCTGGTGATGCCTTCTTTCTTGACGGTCCACAAGTCTCATGTTTCGATTGCTGTTGCCTGTGGATCTAGTTAAGACAGACCTCCGCCTAATAGCAATGCCTCCAACCTACTAGCGATGGCCTCCACACCCTGGCATTGCCACCACTTTAGCAAAACAACAAGCAAAAGATCAGAAGTCGTACCTTTACTTTTCTGCACTTAAAATGCCAAGCTGACTCAAGTAGCCCTCCTTCTTGTTTGAGTGCTCCTGGCTCAACATACGCGTCAGTGATCAATGGGCAACACAAAGCGAAAAGCTACGGGAGTCCAGCTGAGTTGGCTAAGCGTCTGTGCCTTTTGTGGGGGCCTTCACGCGGAAAATCAAACTACACGCGTCCTTGCTCCGTTCGTAGCGATGCCCTTTGTTCCGAGTAGCGAACATTGCTCCTAGTAGTAAGGCCAGGAGCCCCTAGTAGCGTCCTTGCTCCTAGTAGCAATGCCCTTTGCTCCTAGTAGCGAACATTGCTCCTGAGTGAACCAGTGAAGAACACGAACGTGCAAAACGATTTAATCTCAGACTGTGCGACACACTTTTTACGGCGCTCTTGTGTCAAGGGTTTGTAGGACAATTTTGTGGGTTATTCTTTGCTTGCTAGTAGTAACAAGAAGCTACTAGGAACAAGTGCATCGCTTCTAGTAACAAGTGCCTTACTAGTAGAAACAAGGACGCTAGTAGTAACAAGAAGCTACTAGTAACAAAGGTACTTTGCGAAAGCGACTCTCTTGTGGGCAACCGATCCCTCCTGCGCAACACTCTCGCAGGACACTTGACACTTGTGCTTGACAGGCTTCTAGGACGCTCTTGTCGGGCAGCACCACTCTTGCTTGGCATTCTTTCGTGGTACTCTTGTACGACACTCTCGGTTGACACTTTTCTGGGACACAAAACGAAGAAAAACATTACTAGCGATGGCCTCCAACCTACTAGCGCTGGCCTCCAACCTACTAGCGATGGCCTCCAACCTTAGAGCGGACACCCTTGTGCAACACACTTCTTTGCAGCTACTTATGGCGCCGTATTTGCACTACAAAACGGCCTCTTAGTTAGACGAACAAGACTCCAAAACAAGCCTTTCGTACGAGATTTTTGCAATTGCAAAGTTTACACGGGAAGTCTCCAAAACAAGCATGTGTCGCCTTTCAATCACACGCCGGAAAGGTTCAAAACGAGCACTTTGCACACGACCTTCTCCCAGAGAAATCGACAACCTCTCTATAACAAGCACTTCGTAGGAGACTTCTGCCGGAAGTCAGACGAAGCCGCTCACAAGATTGCGGGTCTAGCGGGTCTAGAAAGGAGCTTGGGGCATTCGCACCCATCTGGGTGGAAGTTCTGATCTGAAGAGCCAGCAATGGCGCTTGCAATTCTGGGCGCTAGCGCAACTAGCAACTTGCAGTTTGGTTAGTCACATGCCAGAGCAATTTGCAAAGCATTTGCAGCCACCCTGAAGCCGCATCCCAACCAAAGCATTCCACGTCAAACATAGGCACCGACACGCTGGCCAGTGGCGGTATGTGAGGATTGATCACATCATCACATCACTTGTTTCTAGTAGCTTCTTGTTACTACTAGTAAGGCACTTGTTACTACTAGCGTGGCACTTGTTTCTAGTAGCTTCTTGTTTCTAGTAGCATCATCACATCACCATCGTCTTTGAACACACGAAAAAACATCAACTCGCGCGCAGCGGCTTGCACACATAGTGCTTGGCCCGAGAGGCTGCACATACATTCAAGTACGCAAATAGATACGCATGAATGACCATCGCTATATGGCCATCGCATGAATGCACAAAGAAAAGGACGGTTTACACACTCGCAATCTTCCACTGCCGTCTGTCCTTGAAAAGTTTGCTGATCTGTGCAGCATTTTCCTGCACCACAAACGCTCTTTTGTCTTTAAATGGAAGGCAACAAAATTTGACCATCAGAAAGGCAAAATATGTCCGTGTAGTTTGGACACTGCACACGTGTTGGCTCGTTTTGGCGCGTTGACTCTCTATTATGTTTTAACTGGTTCTTTTTAACTTTCAAACGACACAACAGTCTTCTGCCGTGAAACGGCGCATCTGCGTTGTCCCCTTTTTTGGCGGACAAGCGCCCGTCAACAGCCAAGACCTTGTCGCACAGATCGCAGGAGTTCGAGCGGAAAGGTCGAAAAGAGGCAGGTCGCGGAGGTCGAGAGGTCAAAACCAAAGAACAAATATCTCTACATGGAAACCTTCTTCGCCACCTCCTGCACAAAGCTGTTTTGGTTCCAAAACATCAAGTTTTATTGTTGCCAATTGTTTGTTTTTTTGGGACGTCACCCACAAACAAACGAAACTGCAAGGCCCCACAAGGGTGTGGGCCCCTGAGCGGTGTAACAATATTGGCATTATTGGGGGGGTAAGTGTTGATGCATTTTCGCCAAACAACCTGTTGGCTCTTTATCAATCTGCGCCCATTGCTCTGCAATGTTCACCAGCTTTCGCTAAGCCTCGAGATGTAAATTGTAAATTTGTTTGTAAATTCATTGTGCAGGTCGACAGTGGCGACCCCAGCCCACTTAGTTCCACCCGCTCCCTGGCGCAGCACTGAGCACCGGTACTTCACAACCGAAAACCTTCTTCCGCATCAAGCCCTGGCCCGGGCACACAACAGGTGCGGAATGCGTCGACTGATAAAAGGGCATGAATTGTAAAGGATGAACTCGGCAGGCATTGTCTTTGCCAAGCTATTATGTTTTGAAACACACAGCTCTTTTCTCAGCCGTGCAAGCATCACCACATGGGAATATGTGTGCCCACATTTGCGCAAGCGTGACACTGCTGCAACAAGCACGAACCATGGAGCCTTCTCCGGAACCCGCTCTGGCGCCTGCTCAGCATGTCAGCATGACAGCATGACCCGACGCTCCACCGCGACAGGTGTCAGCATGTTAGCGTGACCTGTGTCGGAGTGTTAGGATGACAGCATTCTCCCAAACCCTATCGACAAAGGGCCGGCGCACATGGTCGCCTTAATGTGGGCGGGCCTCCTCCTTAACTTGAACTTCTTTGGTTGCGGCGAAGCCTTGGCCTTGGCCTGGGCTGATGTGTCCGGGCTGGGGGGTTCCCGGCACCTAAAATGGCCTCCTCTTCCTTTCCAATCGCCTGGTCTTGCAAAAGATGCGCTTTCTGGGTCTCATTGGTAGCTTTGCAGCGCGTAGCTGGCAAACCCAAGGCACCAAAATCTTGAGCCCAGCCAGTTGTGGAAGCCCTTCTTGGTAAGGCTGGCCGCTGGACTCGGCAGAGACCACCCCCAACAAATAAGTTCTCACGTGTTCTCTTCCGATTGCCCTTCAATCTGCTTTGCGTTGATTGATCTTCGAGACGCAGCCTAGCTCTCCGCACCCCTCACCTGCTCTGCTTTCATGCCTCCTGGTCCATGAGGACTTCATGACCAAGTCGCGGCTTATTCCCGCTCTACCCGGCTTCCAAGGCCAACTTCTTGCTCCAAGCGCTGAGTCGGCTTGCCACTCTGAAAGCCACATCTTGTCCATGTAGAGCCACTCTTGGTCAGACAGCCCAAAGCGCAGCCACGGACATCTCGCAGCAACACCCTGCAGCAGCACCAGCGCCCAAGCTCCAAAGCGCACACGGCCGCTGGCAGCAGCACCGTGCAGCGGCAACAGGGCCCAGGCTCCAAAGTGGCACACAGGCACCTCTTCCTATACTTGAAGTAAGAACCCCATCGGCTCTCTGGGCATCTGGAGAAAAAGGTCATTCCTTTCTGGCTTTGCTGGTTACATGGCTTTTGACAAGTCAGGATCAAGGACCACAAGACCTATGCATTAGACTTCTCCAATAACACCCTTGCTTATTTCGACTTACTGGTTTCACTGGCGATGACAGTCGTCTGTTGCAGCCCCCTTCGATGCCTGCAGATAACATCTCCCAGTACCTCGACAATCTGCTCGCATCTTTGGATGCACATTTGGCGTCGCCACGTT